TTTTGTTGGTTACGCGCCAGAATAGATTAATTAAACTGCATCCAAACCATTCACGAAGATTGCGCAGCCACGAGATTTTACGTCTTCCTACGCTTCTTCTGCCTTTGATTTGACCCTGCATTACATTCCTTAGTAGTTCGTATTTTTCACCTCTCTTGATGTGCCCAAGTATTCCAATTTCCTGATTTTTATGAAATTTAAAACTTCGCATTGTTTTCCTAGTTGTTCGAGAACTTGTTCGTTTGTTTTGCGATCCATCCATGATATTTTCAAAATACGTCGGTAACACTGGTAACACTTTTCTCCCTGCCATTTCTTAATTCACGTTTCGCTAGCATATATCACCGTGAGTCTGATTTATGTCTCGTAAACTCAAAGCTTAGCTGTTCTTGACAAATTTTTTGCTTTCAGTATTGAATTTAATAACCCTACCGTTCTGCCCCCCTTTATTAATCTTGTGTCTATCTTTTCCGTGGTCGTTATAGTTACTTCTAAGTATTTAAATTCTGACACTTAACTGCCGATAGCCTCTGCTCCTTTCATGTTGATATATTTGCTACGATTTGATATCATTTGTTATGTCTCCTCGTATTTCCATATATTACGGTTTTGTTTGGTTTCTTGTTCATATCTTTCGCCTCTTTCTTCAAATTTGTAGAAAACTTTTCATTCTCTATGCACTGTTACTTGCTATTGAAAATAGTCCTGTTTGTGCTCATATTTGATATTCTAACGGTTTGTTCTAATAGTAAATTGAATAAATTCGCTGATAGCGGATCCCCTTGTTTTAAACCTGTATTCAGCGTGAACTACCTTGAAAAGTTTTCTTCCATTATTACCCTATTTCTCCTACCTAAGTGTCATTCTCATACAGAATCATTTAGTTTATGGACTCGTAAGCCTGTATAAAATCGGTAAATAACATATGTCATCCTAAGTGTACAACTGTATTACGTTTTTCTCTACAGTAAACTGCTGAGGCGAGTGTCACGGAATTAGCGCCACGAGAAGGCGTCACGAAATAGCGGCTCTTCACGTTGATTTACTGCTCTCGATCAATCTTTTCTAGTCATCATATATTTATTCCAAGCAGGTTTAAATTAAAAACTGCATGAAATTTACCACCAAAAAACTGTGACAATAACTGAGAAGTAAAAAGTTAAAAGAATTTCTAAGTTTTCTTTTGGTTATTCATGACCCATGAAATAAAACTTATCTTTTGCGGTTTTGTAAATTATTTGATCAAAGAGTTAACATTATAAAAAAAATGAGACATTGTGAGTTAAAATCGGTCTAATGGGCTCGGAGATATAGCCCCGTACATACCATTTACTTTATGTTATGTTATGAATCATTTATATTTACCTTTCAATAATAATAATTAAAAATAATATAAAAAATATCTATTTTCCAAAATTTTGCATTTGGTGAGTTCGGAAAATAGTTGCTAAAAATGGACCCCTTAAAAATTATGAATAAAGTTGTACAAATAATTGCAAAAACGTATTAAAGAAGAGAAAACATGATCTAGTTTCTAAATATTTTGCAACCATTTCAGAAGTTTCAGTTTCCAATATAATACATAAAATATACAAAAATATTTAGAACAACGACTTGAATTATTAATTTATCTACAAAAATTGCAGCTGTATTTTGATCTTTATTAGACCAAGCACAATCCGCATGGGCCCATAACGAACACACCATGGGTCTCAAATTTCGCCATTACAATCTTCCGAATATTTTCTGTCATAAAACATACATAAAGGGCTATCCTTTTTCAATTGTGACATTCCCGTAATAATGTCCAATTCATATGTTCCAGAAGATACACTGATTTCATATTCGGAGCCTGATTTTTTTATATTTTACTCAAAATTTTGACATTTTTTAGTAGCTCTTTCCCTTTTATAGAAGATCCTGCTGAAGTTTTCTGTAGCGGTTGCTTTTGAAACCTTGGCACGTTCTTGCTGTTTAGTTTTCATGGCTTCTTTAGCTTTTTAGATTTCGTCAACTTTGATTTATAAGGCAGAGATGTGATAATTATTGAACTGTAGGCTTTCCGTCCCCTATTAGTGGTCCTTTTGTTGATTTTTGGAATGAGAATGATCTCGAACGGGCTTAATAAAGACGATTTGGGGCCATGAGGATCGTCAAATGTAGATGGTAACACTGATTGCCCCTATTTGCTGATGATATTAACGGTTGATTAGATTCTGCATTAACTTGTGACTCATCAATTATCATAACACATTTTTCACTAATTCCTGTAAAGCTTTCATTACCTGCCGAATCTCGCATTTTGCTTGCTTTTTCAATATATTCGGCATTAGAAAACAGCTCCTCGTTCAGTGGATACAGTCTTGTGGCTTTAAACAACAACAATATTTAACTAGCTCTTCTTCCAGATTTTCGCCCAATATTGTAGATCTGCGTCTTTTTGTTTGTGCTTTTCGGTAGGCGTACCGTACTTATCTTTGCTTAATCTCATTAGTGTTGTCTTCAGCACATTAAAATGTTTAACCGCCTTTTTCCACCCCATCTTCTTATTTCGAACTGCATCAACGGCCTAGTCATTTTGGACGAACTCCACTTTCTCTGTTCGACCTTCTTCATTTAATTGATTGTGAGAATTTTTAACAAAATTGCAAATAATAGAAAACTAATAACAGCGGAGTTTTAAATCTAAAAAATAAGGGGTCTGATTTAGGTAACTACGAGGGGTCTGGATTGGGTGGCTATAGCATACATTTTATTAATGTCATAATTTTTTAATAAAACCATTCTTCTTCTTCTTGATGTGCCTATCCATTACAAATGTTGGTGAACATCATGGCAATCTTGCCATGTTGGCAAGTTGTATTGAACCAGATTCTGAGGTTCTTTAACCAAGATGTTCTTCTTCTTCCTGGACCTCGTTTTCCAAATATTTTTCCTTACAGGATGGCTTGAAGGAGAGCATATCTGGATTCATTTCGTATAATATGTCCGAAGAATTGTAACTTTCGAGATTTGATGGCGGTCAGTACCTCTCAGTTCTTATTCATTCTTCTGAGGATTTCCTTATTTGTGACTCGGTCAGTCTACGGGATCTTAAGTATTCTCCGATATAGCCACATCACAAATGCTTTCAGTTTTCTGCACATATCTTCGTTCAAGGTCCACGATTCAACATCATAAAAAAAGGACAGAAAATACGTAGCATCGCAGCATTTTTACTTTTGTATTAAGAGAGAGGTTGTGACTCTTGAAGAAGGCCCCCATCCCATTGAAGGTGGATTAAGTTTTTCCGATGTGTGCTCTAATCTCCTGGTTGGTGGTCCATTTTTCATTTATTATGATGCTGAGGTAGTTGTAGTGCGCCACTCTTTCTACAAGGGATTTGTTAACGTAGAGTTGACTTTCTGTGATCCTTTTCTTGCTAATTACCATAAGCTTTGACTTCTTAGCATTTATATTGAGTTCATATTGTTGACTGTAATACGTGATTTTGTTCATAAGAATTTGTAGGTCTTCTAACTGTCTGCAAATACTATGGTGTCATCTCCATATCTGATGTTATTTAGCCGGTAAACATTTAGTAGAGTTTAGCAAAATAGCGTGTTCAGTTTCGTGCAAAGCTTCGATAAATATTCTTTCAGAGTACAGATTGAGGATTAGAGGTGACAAAATACAGCCTTACCTCACTTCACGCATGATTTTCACATAGTCAGTGTGTTCATCTGAAACTCTGAGATTTGCTGTCTGATTCCAGTAAAGATTTATAATTATTTTCAGATCTTGGTTGTTAATTCCTGTTTCTTTTAGTATTTGCATCATCTTGGCGTACTGTACTCGATCAAACGCTTTCTCGTAATCAACCAGACATGTGCATATGTCGCAGTTGACGTCTCTGTATGTCTGGAATAAGACTTGTACTGAGAACAAAGCCTCTCTAGTACCCACAGCATTTGTGAACTCGAACTGGTTGCTGGAAATTTGACTTTCACACATCTTGTAGATTTTCTTATGAATTAACTTTAGAAACAATTTTAGAAGATGGAGATCAAACCAGTACATGAACTATATTCATAGACATATAATACAAGATAGAAAATTGACCCAAAGCAGTCCCTACATATTTTTCTAATTTGCCGGATTTATCGACCACATGACTTAAATAACCAATGAGAAGGTCACGTGGTCCATAAATCCGGCCCATTAGACAGAAATGCAGGGACTGCTTTACGTCAGTTTTCTCTGTCGCACTGGAGGAACGCGACTGTATTTCAGCAGTCAGTATAACTTCTATTATATGTCTATTACTGTATTAGTGAGAAACAATAACCTTAAACCTTATTATTTAAAAAAATATATAGATTGAATGGTTACGTAAATAAAACGTAAAAACTTTCCACACAATCAATACACGTTTAGGATGGCTGACAAGCGATAAGTGACGTGGCCGGCTTATGCGCTTCACCACTGAGTAATGAAATTCTAATATACCATTTGCACTTATTACCGCCACGATTCAAATTAAAACGTAACAAAAAGGCTAGGGGTGCGCAAAAATAATATTGATACCATCTTCATAGCGCCTTATGAACACTATGAATTTTCTATTATGTGATTCTTTTTCCTTGATTTTTAATTGTCTTCTTTATTCTAGGGCTTATGATGTCAATGTTTTAGAGAGAAAAGACAGGTCACATGCCTATATCTTCTATCTTTGTTCAGACTACAGGTTTCGTCTTTGTTGAGAACTTATTAGGTAGAGTTATGTAGAGCCAGACAGCTTATGCACAGCATATTATTAATATATTTTTTGTTGTGGGGTCTGATGTGTTCCCAAGAGCAGATTGAAAATCTGTGATGTTAAAGCTTGTTAACCATACAGCTCGGTCAACATAACTTTGTTGTATTTCCTTATTATTGTTTTCCTAAGGCTTTTATTCCTTTTTGAACCTTTGTTAACGTACTTTCTTTTTTGGAGTTTTAAAACAGTAACTATTTTGTAGCTATTAAGGAGTCTCTTGAGAAAGACGGAACTTTAGGTAGAGTCAATGGAGAAATAAGAGCTCGTGTCATGGCTGTGCTCAACCGAGACTTTGAATGTGCCGATCCACCGAAAGTACCGGAGGAAACAAAATTGATAAACGAATTAATTAGAGAATATCTGGCATGGAATGGATATCTTTATACTGAACAAATTTTAATTGCAGGTAAGCTGGACAGTTAATTGAAAAATATTACGAGATATTCTAAACAAGAACATTTTTAAATAAACTGAAAAATTTATTTACATTTATGTGTCATTTTAGTTTCTTAATTTATAATATTATTATTTGGAAACTTATTTAACTCTTCCAATAAAGAATGCAAGCGGTGAAAGATGGCCAAATCTGGCCAGATGGATCTTAGTGGTGGCCAGAATAAAAGGTTTTTAAGATCCACATTAGGCCAACAAAAATTAAATAGTTAATCATTACTTTGTATAGAAAAAGAGTTATAAAATAACTGTATTAATTATGACAAAATAATTGACGAGTTTGGAGAATTAAAAATAAGGAAAAGGACAATAGTAGTCCTGGATATGATGGTAAAAATAGTAGAAAACCTCTGAATTTTTTTATTTGCATCGATTTGCTTAAAATTTTGACAGGAGTTAAAAAATAGCTCAATGATCAACAGTCGCTAGAACAGTGAATTATACGACAAAAATTTTCTTTAAAGTTTTTTCGAAAAGTCATTAGTTTTGAAGATATTCGTGACTAAATTTTGACAAATTATACGTCAAAAAACATGTTTTTAAACGGGTTTTTGCAAATAACTCGAAAAATGTAGATTTCATCCAGAAAACTGTCTAGATATAAAATGAAAGACATTTGATTTTAATTATTACCTAAACTTAATACTAACAAAGTTATGGCTGTCCGAAAGTAGACTTTTATTATTTCATTTAAGTTTTTCATGGAAAACTTTAAAAAACCTTTAAAATGACACTAGTAAAAGTGATTTGCATAAAATGAAGGTAAATTATATTTTTTATGACACAGAAAGTAACAAAATCACTCCCGCCAAATACACCCTGGTTTTTTGTTAATTCACAATTTACTTCATGTGCATACAACCATTACATTCTAGAAGTTTATCTGGTTTAGTTTTGAAAAAAAAAATCGAATACAAAGGGACAGAAAAAGTACTAGAATACAAAAAACAGCTTTTTTTACTAAAGATTTTACTGAAGTAAATTGTAAATGGACAACAAATAGTTTCAACCACTGTGGTTTTCGCGTTGATGAGTTTTTTACTTTTTGTACTTCTTGGGTTTGGGCCACATAAAATATAGGCGGACTTTATTTTAGTTATAACTTGCTTAATTTTCATGCAAATTACTTTTATCGGTGCCCATTTTAAAGGTTTTTGTAAGGTCTTTAAAAGAGTTTCTGTAAGTTTTCTATAAAAAACTTACCGTTTTCCGGTTATTCATTATCATATACTAGGATTTTTGTATTTGTTAAATAAATGTCTACTTTCACGCAGCCTGTTAATATGAATGGTGCGACTATAACAAAAAAGTAATCCTTTTAATTTATAACATCTAAATTTTTGACTTCTCGAAAATACTCCAAAAATATTGACAAAAACTCTAAAGAATACGTTTGTCTTAAAATTCACTGTTCTAGCGTCTGTCATGTTTTTTTTTGATAAACTTTTTCCTCCTCCATATTGGAGTGATAACCACTCCCAGAGAGTAAACACATATTGGCATAGGGTAGATTTTAATCCTTGAGCTCTTTTCTACCTACTGACAAAATTTCAAGCCAATCCATGAATATAAAAAAAAATTCTCAGCAGAAAACCTTCTTATATCCTGGACTAGGTATAACTAATCAATATGGGTATATTTGTTTAAGTATTACTGCCTGTTTTAATAAATATGTTTATGTTAAATATAACAGACATAATGAGAATTGTTAGTGTGAACTATCGTTAAAATATTGTAAACATAATACTTTTTTTTGTGTATATACAATAAACATAGGACATGACTAATATCGGAGCTTTAGGGTTTGGATAAAACAAGTCCTGTCAAGCACGGAGCTCCGGAAGCTTATGTGCCATCCTTCTACTGTATCAAATATAAGCCACCGACATTCCAAGAACCCAGGACCACTACTCAGTCTTTATGCAGATGACACAGCAATTGCTTCTAAACACAGAAACATTGATGTAGCTGTATACAACTTATAGACAGCATTAAATAATATAGAAGAATTGAGTATCCAACGGAAAATAGCCATTAACTCAGAAAAAACGCAAGAAGTCATATTCAAAAAGAAAAGAGAAAACCCAGACGGGTTTTCGACAACAAAAACATTCGACAGTGCAAAACAAACCCATCGAATGAAAAAGAAAAGTAAAATACGTAGGAGTCACAATGGATCAAGGGACTAGCCTTCATGCATTATGTGGACCTAACAATCTTAAAAACAACTGTTAGAGCGCCAATAATAGAACTTCTTATTGGTGCTCTGGCCATAGCTTAAGAGGTAGGTAGAAGGAGCAAATTAATACTAAAAACGAAAATAAGAGTGATTAACAGCATCATACTTCCAACAATAACATATGAATCTCTCACACGGGACACATAAGTAAATCAAACAAAAAAAATATAGGCAATACACGAAAAAGACAGAAAAAAAGTTTGCTGAGCTAGAGAACCCCCAAACCCGATATTGTGAGAGATAATAAGATATGATGGGTTCCATCGATGGCAGCACAAAAGACCAAAACAGCAAATCCGGGCTAACATATAAAGTCTATATAATCGTAGCTCTATCAACAGAAGACAAACCAACCCATAGCACTGGCAATTTTAACAATGACTAATGATATTCCTTTTCAGACATCTCTCAACAAAAGTTAAGAAAACCAAAAAACGGCTTCGTATCCCAAAAAAATTACAAAACTACTAACAAAAAGACGAAAACCACCAAAAAAATTAACAATAGAACCCTAAACCTGGAGATGAGAGGACCACTTTCTCGAGCGCCGAACAGGGAGTAGCCCGGAACATAGACTTGGGGCCCGAGCAATCAATTTTAGATTCGATGATAAGTCAGCAGAGGTAGCCTAAAAAAAGTACCTTAAGCTATCCTGTTTTGATCGTGATAGAATATCATGTTGGAGTTCTTGTTCCCTTGACTTTCATACGACAAGCACTTTGCTGAAGGAGAGCACCTATCGCACCTCGGAGTGCTATAGGGGGGAAGGGCATGGTCTGGAGCATTGGGGAGCGGTAGAGTAACTCCTGATTAGACGAGGTAATCTTCCTTGTTTCAATGAATTGTAACACCCGAGTGTCATTCTAAGGGTTGTACAAATCTCACAGGTTGAATTAAATTGCTTGCTTGCTTGCTATATAATAAATATTGAATTGCAAAAAACTAGAGCTTTTAGAAAAATTTAGATTTTATTTAAATTCAGTGATTACGACACAATCAAATTAGTTACAAAATGTCATGCTACAAATTTTTTTTTTGTTTCTCATTATCTTATGTTATCATTGTCTTGATTTTTTTTTAGAATCTGGTCAAAAAAATGAAAGACTGAGCAGAGACGTTTTAACGACTAAATTTGGCGTAATGGATGACTCAAAAACAGCGAAGATACCATTATTGTATTATATAGTATCTGCTTTTCAAGGATTTTAATTAATAATTTACAATTTTATACAATAAATATCAAATAAATCAAACACAACTGTTTTAATTTACATTTATTGATTATTTTCTACATTACATTCGCCTTTGTCCTGATTTAAACAATCATCAGTGTTATTTGCTGTAGCCTTTTCTTGTTGCTTCTGTTTCTTTAACTTATATACTGCGGTTTGTTCAGATGCAGTGTATTTAATAGCGCAGTAACCCGATATGAGCTGTATACAAAGAAGAATAAACATTATAGATTGGACAATTATTTCCAATACGTACATACGGAAATAAGGGTTGAATAATAAAAAACCTTGAAGGGGTAACTGAAGTAGTATTGAAAGCATCCAAAATCCTGCCAGTTCTGGAATCTAAAACAATATTAATAATTCTAATAGTCTGCTTTTAAACTAGAGAAATGTAATATCTTTTCCAATTAAGTTTAATTTAAATATACAGGGTGTCCCATAATTAATTGGACATTAGCTAATGGGTGAGAGCTGATATCAAAATAAAGCGTTTGAACTCAAATTGCTTAGGCAAAATGTTGCTAGTTTTCTTTCTATAGGGGGATTAATTAATATTTCTTATATTATTTTTAGAGATATATTGAAAACTATTATTTTCACACTAGGTTCAATAATATGGTCATTTTTTTTTGTCTGGCCTGTATAAACATTCTTGGAAAAAAACGTGAAATAACATTTAATTCTACACAAAAAAGGTATTCTTGTTTCAAATCAAAAAACACCGTTTTCGAAATAAACTTTCGACTCGACTCGCACTGTCCTTTGACAAAAAATAGTAAACAAATTCGTACTTACGCCTTGACTTTGCCATTAAGTTCACAGCATATCTATAAGTATAATAATTATAGGTAGGTACCTACTTGTTTTATTGAAATCAGAGAGCGTATGGGCATAGACGTTGACATCCTAAAAACTATAGAATGCAAAAGGCTGAAATGGTATGACCATGTAGAAAGGATGAATGATCAACGATGGCCGAAGAGAATGTTACAGTGGATCCCTACCAACCGCAGGAAAAAAGGAAGACCAAGAATATCAGAATATCGTGGAGACAAGAAGTAAAAGGTGCAATGGAAGATATGGGTCTACAAGTAGATGACTGGAACGATCGCAAGCGTTGGAAGCTAGGTTGCGAGAAACGGTGGCAGCTGTAATAAACTCGTTACATATATATATATATATATATATATATATATATATATATATATATATATATATATATATATATAACAGACAATTGAAGGTAACCGGGAACGACCCAATACTAAGGAAGCAATAAAAAACAGGTGCTTCAAAGTGAGTGTCTTTTATTAGTAGTCAAGCTTTCGCCACATAATTTTGGGCTTCATCAGAACTTGCTGTAATGGAAAAACATTCTTTACAATCATCGTAATTAAAGATGTTATTTTTAATATTACCTTAACGTTGACACTATTTCTTAGTGTAAATTATTGCAGATGTGGAACTACACATTGTTTTCCAAATACAAACCAAAACGCATCTCCTACTTAGAGGAAGACGGCAAACAAAGCTTAAATTAAATAATTATTAAATTTGTTATATTTTAATCACCATGTGGCCGGTATTATTTTTGACAAGACAATTGTTAATTAAGTCATGTGTCATATCGACTGTCACTTATCGATATGGCACCTGTCTCAATTCCTTCTTCTTTTTGTTGGGTATAAGACACTACCTTTCTTCAGACACATTCTTGTGACTGAATAATGAATTTCGTTTAAAATCACAATTAAAATTGAATATATGTATACACACATATATATATATATATCCATATACACATATACACATATATACATATGCACACACACATACACGTGTATATAGTTCCCGTTCTATATGAGCATATCATGTTTAAAATTCATTCGGTTTGTATTTAGTGTTGTATATAGTGGTCAATACTCCGGTAAGATGTATGTATTACATACCTTCTGTTAGAGAACTAAGTGTATCATGATGCTGATGGATATAAAAATAAAAATAAAAGTTGGAACTTGTTCTCAAAAGGGAAGTAATACATCCGGATAGATGTTAGTCTATATCACAGATATTTCGTTGTTTTTTTACATTCATTTATGTTAGTAGTATAAACACAATATGTCCAAAGAAGGGTCGGACATTTACAGATATGCTAAGATTTAACAATAGACAATATAGTCTAGTTGACTGACATAAAAATATACAAAAGGAAAAACATTCTTTGTATATGACGTTAAGTTGTAAAATTTTTTGTTTTTATTTAAAATTATTAACATATTGACTTGTAAGTTAAATTGAATAAAAGTATAAATTTAGTGCAGGCAATCAACTAAGTCATAAGAGGTCGAAATACATCAAACGTACGATTCAGTGAAGTGTGGATCAGCAATGTTATGTAATTCTCGTGTAAGAAGGTGGTAGTTTTTTATTTTTAGTGAATTTCTGTTGTAAAACATAAGTATAGATGGAACTCAAGTTATCAACATCTTTTTTGTGGTTTAATGAATTAGAACAATTATTGATGTAACACATTTCTAGGATTTTTCGATGAGCTTCTTTTTCAGCTCTATCTAGAATTATAGTTTCATTGTATAAGACCCGATGGTCATTATCGTTGACATGGATACTCAAACTTGTTGCTAGGGGTTTGTGTTTACAATCACTTTTGTGAAGAGCTAGGCGCTTACTAAGTCGTTGACTTGTGTGGCCTATGTATATTTTGCCACATTCACAGGGTATACCATAGATTACGTTGCAGTTTTATCTGGTGGAACAGGATCTTTTAATTTAGAGTAGAACAAGTTGAGTTTTTTGTTATTATAATTGGCTATTTTGATGTTGAATTGTCTAAAAAGTCTAGTTAGAGATTGCGTTAAACCTTCAATGTAAGGTAATGATCCATACTTCACCTGTACGACGTCATCAGGTGTCGATCGATCATGAATAGAAATATCGCCACGTGCACTGCGTTCTGTGTGTGAATACAACAGTTTGTTAAGCAAGTTTTTTGGATAATTATTGCACATTAGTGTGTCAAACAACAGTTTTAAGTTCTTTTCAGTAAAAGTTGGATGTGAGATTTTTAATATTCTATTTTTCATTGCTAGAACGGTGTTAACTTTCTGTTTCATGGGATGATATGAGTTAAAGGGTATGTATCTACCAGAATTGGTAGTTTTTCTATACCAATCTAAACAGATGGTGTTATCATCCATTCTAACAACTCTTGTATCAAGAAAGGGTACCGAAGAGTTTGACTCCTCCTCAACAGTGAATTGTAAATGACAATTAAATGAATTGAAAATTGTGAGTGTATTTTGTATCTCATCTTTTGGTACTGATGTTATTAAATCATCAACATATTGGTAGAGAAAAGGAATTTGGAATTGTACCTGTTGGTATACAAAATACAACAATTTATTCATAACGATTTCAGCTAAGATTGGTGAGGCTGCTCCACCCATCGGTAGTCCTAATTTTTGTTTGTAAAATTTATTATCAAATAAGAAATAAGTATGATTATACAAAAAGGCAATAATCTCTACGAACACTGTTTTTGGAATATTGCAATTCGGTTGTATTAGGTCAAAATGTTCTTCCATAATTGAGGTTATTAAGTCAAGAGGTATATTGGTGAATAGTGAGACAACATCAAAAGACACCACTACGAAGTTATTTGGTATAACTGTGTTATTGATTTTTTGTGCGAAATCAAACGTATCTTTTATTTTAAATTTGTTAAACGTATCAAAGGAGGTAGTTAACACCTCAGATATCATTTTAGCTAACGGTTGAATAGAGGATTTAATGCAGGATACTATAGGTCTAAGAGGTTTCTCTGGTTTGTGAACTTTGGGTAATCCATAGTATTTTGGACAGATACCGTTATAGGTAGTGATAGATTTAGCTATTTCAGAAGTGATGTATTTTTTTTCTTTGAGACGTTTAACCAACTTATTACAAGCATTCTCCATTAAAGTGGTCGGATCTTTATCAATCATTACATATGTATCGTGATCATTTAGGAGGTCCAATGATTTCTGGATATATGTGTCTCTATTCATAAGTACAGTTACATTACCTTTGTCTGATTTTGTGACTAGAAGATTAGGATTATTTTTAAGGAAGATTCTAGTTTCTTTTTCAATAGCAAAAGATGGTGACTTAAGGTGTTTATTGTGTTGTATAAAGTTTGTAATATGATTAGTAGCTAAACTTCTGATCAGATTCTGATCTTTTTGTGGTGTCCAAGTGATAATATGCTCTACTTCACTGATTAATTTAAAGATGTCAATGTCTTTAGGTGTTGTAGGTAAACTAAATTTAGGGCCTAGAGCTAAAAAGCCTAAAATTTGAGGTGGTACCTCGACGTTGGAGATATTTTTTATCCATTTATCATTGGAACTGCTATAGATGTTATTTTTTGTTTTTATCAAGTTTTTAAGTTTATTAATGTTCGTAGTTTTTATTTGATTGAATAATTTATTATACAAATTATTTTGTCTGAAAAGAAATTCATCCAATATATCATGTGGAAGTAAAAAACTGAGTTTGTCTATGCATTGATTAATATTTAATTTAAGTTTAGAAATGTACCGGATTGTGTCGTTAATGGTTATATTCTGGAGTCTACTATTTACCTGGTGTGTAATGTTTTCTAATTGTGTAATGTTAGTAGTGCCTAGGTGTTGTGGTGTACTCCATATGTTCTTGGTGTTGTTGGTGATAAATTTAGGTATGACTTTGTTGCGTCTGCACTCCAGGAGGAAGATCCGTCGGTTGGTTTGGGCAGCTAGCTTACGGTGTAGGGTTGCTATTGTTTTAATGTGACCATTGTCTCGGTTCCATATCGTAGATTGATGTTGTTGTAGAATGTTCTCATTGTAGATATTAGTCTATAAAAAAATATCAAGGACAGTAACGGGTTACTGGTAAACAACAGACAATTGAAGGTAACCGGGAACGACCCAATACTAAGGAAGCAATAAAAAACAGGTGCTTCAAAGTGAGTGTCTTTTATTAGTAGTCAAGCTTTCGCCACATAATTTTGGGCTTCATCAGAACTTGCTGTAATGGAAAAACATTCTTTACAATCATCGTAATTAAAGATGTTATTTTTAATATTACCTTAACGTTGACACTATTTCTTAGTGTAAATTATTGCAGATGTGGAACTACACATTGTTTTCCAAATATATATATATATATATATATATATATATATATATATATATATATATGTACTGTTTGGGAAAGTATGTGCGAATTCATTTCATATTTTTACAGTTAATATTTTTTGGTTACGGTACTGTAATGTGATCTAATTTGGTGCTGTCTTTTAA